AAAAGAAGTAAAAACTTCAAAAAAAAAACTCCACGAACATGTCCTTAATTTGCATTTTGTAGAACGCAATATCGAACGCAAGATTTGTTCTGATTTTTTGATTTTGTAATGATAATTTTTATATTTCTTAAAATAAAAATTTTAATTTATAATTTATAAATAGTATTAAAAAAGAAGTAAAAACTTCAAAAAAAAAAAACTCCACGAACATGTCCTTAATTTGCATTTTGTAGAACGCAATATCGAACGCAAGATTTGTTCTGATTAGTTGATGCGGTAATGATGATGTCATATTTCTAGTTATTATATATTATTAAACTAAGGGCAGGGGTTACCGATTAAGATTTTGTTGAATTAATATTTATTAATTTAAATATTTTAATTTAAAATTAAAAGTTAATGATTTAAATAATTTAATTATAATTTTTTTTACTAAAAATAAAATATTATAAATTTAAATTACATAATATACGGGTAAAATTAAATAAAAAATAAAAGTAAATTACTTCTCATTATATAATTAAGATAAAAAACCTAAAATTTTAAGTTTATATAATGTTAAATAATTAAATTTTTTGAATCACATCTTCAAATCTAATAATTCATCCTCAATGCTTTATGTTTAGATTTAATTAATAAAAATTCGATTCTCATCAACAACTTAATAAAAATCTTTCACTCTCTAAAATTTCCCAATGTAAAAAAATAAATAAATTTTTTATTAAAAAAAGTAGGGGGTTCTTGTCCTTGCATTAGTTCGGACTTTGACTTTAAAACCACCAAATAACATACAGAGTACTGAGCCAAACCAGAGAGTCCTATTGGGTTATGGTTTAGACTTTAGAGGTCTTTAGTTTCCCCTAATTTAAATTCTTTTTATTTTTGTGAATGTCTTTTAACTCAGCGTACCGAGATCAATAAGGATTGTTGAACCTCTCGAAGATTTTTCCTGTGGCTGTGGGTGTTTTCCAAGGAAGCCTTTTAGCCTCACGTTTAGGAGGTGATTGGGGTGTGATTGAATGCACATGCAAATAGTAAGGTGGTGGTTATTACGGGACATGCCACTTCCTTGACAATGAACATATATATATGCACCTTAATTGGCAGCACGCGGCAGTTAATACAGTGAGAGCAAAGCATTTTTTGGTTGGACTTAATTACTATGTATCTTCTAGATTTAAAAAGATGTATGTATCATACTCATATTATAGTTTAACATATATCAAATTATGTTAAGAGTATTAATTTGTAAAAAAGTGCCATTAAGAATTCTTCACATCAATTCTTTATATATTTGCTACTACGTACAATAGCTCATCAAAACTATACCAAGTACTAAAGGTAAGGTTTCGATATTCTTAAGAACTTAAGACGACAAATGTAAGTTCAAAATATTTTATTTATTGTTGATTTGTTTTTTTTTTTTTTATAATTTTTCATATAGTAATTATATTGTAACATTAATAACATTTAGAAATATAAGCTTTGGAAGTTTTTCCTTTTCCTCTTTATTTGTTCCTTTAAAGTGAACAAGAATGTGTATATACCAGGTTCAATATATAGTATAATTGTTACATACCGTACCTAGGACAAGTTGTGGTTATTGGAGCAGGAAAATAATAAAGAAAGGGTGTAAATGTATGCAGATCCCTATATGTATAGCTTAAAATCTTTGGATCACTAGCCAGATATACCTGTTTTCCAAAATGGGTCCTATCCATAAATGCTTCAAAGCTATGTTTGGTGGATCACCATGTATAAGTTATTAAAAGAGAGTTTATGATCGTCATGTGTTTTCAATTGCTTTCTTGTATCTTACATTTGGGATCATCTTCAATTTGCATTATTTTTAGCTGATTAATGTCATGATATGTGGTTATCTATTTGTATCTTACTCTAACTGTTATTTATTTAGTTATTGTTTTGAATTATATAATAAAATATATCTCTTTTTCATTTAATTGCCTATTCTACCTACATATGTCTACATACAATTCAAATATTGATCTCTTGCTTCACTCGAAAGAAAAATTGCTATATATGAAAGCAATTAAAACTCTCTTTTTCATTTTCTATGTTTGATATGAAATTAATTTAAGAAAAATTGATAAGAAAATTATCATGTAAATCCTACATAAGAAAAGTTAAAAAGAAAACTTTTTATCTTAAAAAATATAAGAAAAGTTTATTGGTTAAATTGACAATTATATTAGAGAAAATAATGTTAAAAATATCATTTTTATCTTTTTTTTTAATAATATTCAACGATATAAAAATACACAAATAACCATATAAAAAAAAAAGTTGAGAGGAAACTTCCCACCCTAACCAAACACACCCTATAATTAATTG